CCACACCGGAGAGGGCTTGGGGCATGCGGCCACCAGCGGACCAGAGGCACGGGCGAGACACCCCCTGCCCCAGGAGTGTGGGGAGACACAGGCCTCAGGACAGCTCATCCCCTTCACCACCCTGGCCCTGCCACTCACCGTCCTCCTGGTGTCCACGAGTTCGGAGTTCCGCGCCTGACGCCGCCTCCTGGGGCCGCCTGGACACTGGGCAGGAGAGGGGGAGGTGGGGAAGGGGAGGGGGAGGAGAGGCCCCAGCGCGGGGAGGGGTGGAGGGCGCAGTGGACCGAGGAGAGAAGAGGGGAGAAGGGGCGGGAGCGAGGAGTGGCGCCGCCCCTTCCCACCCCTCCGGTAGCAAGTCCAGGCGGGTCGCGGCGCGAGGTGCCTACCCTGCTGCCCAGGGCCAACCTCTGCCGGACCCAGGAGACACAGCTGGATGGGGGTCTCCCTGGAGTCCGGCTGCAGCTCTCAGGGCCAACGGAAGCGATGTCGCCTGGAGTGCAGGGGGGCCCAGCTGGAACCCACAGCTCCCCAGGCCCCGCCCGCCGGGCGCTCCGCGCTGGGCGCTGCGTCTTCCCGCGGTGGCCCCCGCAGTGCTGGCCAGCAGGGCCCTTCGGTCTGGCGGTAAGCGCCCGCAGGGAGTAGGGCCCGCAAACGCAAACGGGTTAAACCTGTCCCAGAAGGGCTAGGCTCCCCGTTGGCAGGTCCTCGGCAAGGAGGGGCCGGGATCATGTCACCCTCTATATTCTGTGGACTGGACCCTGGCCTCTGAGCATGACCCTGGGCCGCGGAGGGCCCTGGCTGGGCGCCCGACATGCAGCACGAGCGCGAAGAGGAGAGCCCCGAAACTCCGAGGTTAGGGCCACCAGCGCACCGAAGAGACCTCGAAGAACGTGGTGAGACCCTGAGCGCGCAGATGCGACCCAGGTACGACCTTAAGCCAGCGGTTCTTTAAGCGGCTCCATTAGTGGGTAAAATGGGGGAATCTATTTGAATAAAGGGCAGCCTGCTCGCGTCCGGCCCCGCCCGGGCCCCGCGCCTCGCGCCTCGCTCGCACCGGCCCCGCTCCCACCCCTCCCCGGGCATTAGGTGCCCACCGGGGCTACTGCGCAGAGGTTCCCGCGGAACCCACAGCCTGAGCGGGAAAGGGGCCAGCGCAGGGAGACGCGAGGGCCATTAGGGACCATGAGGCCATTAGCCCTTGGCGCTTCCTCTGCCCAGCAGGGCTTCCTTCTCCTGGTGGCCCAGGACCAGGCTCACATGGCAGCGCCTTAACCGGTTCCTCCCGCCGCCAGCAAGCCCCTGCACACCACTCTTGGTAGGCCTGGCCACTGACTACCTGTTAACTGAGTAACAGAGGCTGGACCCCCGCAGGGCCACCTGGGTTGCGGTCAGTGCTGGAGTAGACCCAGGGAGACCACGGTGCCCCTCCACCCGCAGGACTCCCACCAGCCTGAGTCAGTGCGCTTTGCGGACTTCACCTTCCTCCGGAGGGGCCTCAGGACCCCAGGGCTGGCAGACAAACCAGGGGTCTTCTCTTCCCCCAGAAGCTTCGTGCTGTGGGAGTACCTGCTGCCCACATGCGGTGGAGGTGCAGGTGGATCCCCCCTGGGGGTGCGTTAAGAGGAAGTGACTTCAGAGCAGAGGCAGTGGGGCCCAGCTGGTGCCCTGGAGCCCAGCACTTAGTGCTAGGGTCTCACAGACACAGACCCCCACGGGGCGTGGAAAACTAAAGCCCACTGCTGCCCAGGGCACAGGCCAGGGGCAACCTGGGCGGGGGAAGGCGGTCGGCCACGGTGAGCTTCTGGGGAACGCGCGCTGGATATCACCCTGTGCCACATGCGTGTCTGGCCCGCGGGTCGTGAAGACTTGGGACAGCATGTGCCTTACAGGCCCCTGCGGGCACAGGGACACCTGTTGCCATGGCTGCGGGACACCCAGGGCGCCATGTGGCTACTGCGCCTGAGGTAGCCCCAGTGGCCGTCCACACCCCTGCCTGGGCTCCCTGATGGCGACAGCACATGTGGCCCCTTTCCTTCGCTCCCATGAAGAAGCTGTTGACAAGAAGCCATCTTGACCCAGGGCAGACACCCTGACTCTGCAGACACAGCTGAGGAAATCGGTGAAGGATGACAGGTTCCTCCCGGTCGCCCTGAGCCCACCCCATTTGTCTCAGGAGCCCACCACCTGGCAGGGACACAGGGAGACAGCTGGAGGCCTGAGAAGGTCCTGGTCCCTCTGCAGCCAGGAGCCATCCCTACTGGGGGAGCAGGGGACTGGACAGCTTTGGTCTCCCCTCTGGCGCCCCAGTTGGCACCGGCCCTGCCCTGACCCCCCACAGCAGCTGCGGTCCCTCCATTCCCTCCTCGAGAGGTGGGCAGAGTGGTCTTGGGCTCTAATTGGCAGCTGCCGCCCCCTGCCTGCCTCAGCCCTGGGGCTAGGGAACTTCCTGCATTTCATTTCCGGAAGCCACTGTCCAGGGCTGGTCTGCTAGCCACACCCACAGCAGAACCCTCACCACCCCTCAGCAGGTGAGCCAGCCGGGCTAGCGCCCAGGCATTGTCTGCTGAGCCCCAAGCTCCCCCTCCTGGGTTCTAGACGTGTGGTTCGCCCCGGGGCAAGACCAGAGTCCCTGATCCCGTGGGGCTTACACGTAAGACACAGAAAGTAGGTGAGTGTCATGATTAGTGCTGTGGGCGCAGAGCGTGCCGGTGAGAGCCGGTGGGGTGCGCCGAGAGGCAGGTGCCCCGGGAGTGCAGGGCCAGCCACCACGGCGGAGCTGGGGACAGAGTCCAGCGTGGGGTGGTGCTGAAGGTAGTAGGGCTGGAGCTGCAGACAGACACCTAGGGAGAGGACTTGCGAGCCAAGCGTGTCGGGGCTGGAGGGGGCCAGGGTGGTGGGCAGGCGTCATGGGCAGGCAGCCCCAGCTTGTTTCCAGGCCTGCTGTGCTCCCAGTGGCCCCGGCCTGGTGCACGTGGTCACGCCAGCGCACACCCACTGAGAGTTCCAGGCCCACGTGGGTCTGCAGCCGGCGTCTCTCCTGCCACCTCAGCCCTGAAGCCAGACACAGTGTCAGGGGTTCATCTGTATCCCCCTAAGAGAACTCAGGCTGTGGCCTTTTATCCTGAAAGGAATTTGTTTTATTTTTAGAATTATTTTATTTAAAATTTTGCTATGGGGCATGTGCGCTCACCTGAGAAAGGGAGAAAGCAAGCTGCCAGGCCTAGGACTCGGACCGTGTTGGCCATGCGGGAGTCCAGCACCCTCACCTCTGTGCCACCTGCTGACTCCCAGGTAGGGTCTTTACAGAGCTGCTCAGGGTCACTGGAGTCAGTAGGTGGGCCCTGGGCCAGGCCCGGGTCCTTGTAAGAGGAATTTGGTCGCAGTCTCACGTGGGGGAGCATGCCAAGTGCAGAGGGGCAGAGCGGGGCACAGTGAAGCCAGAGCCGGGCCGGTGCCTGCCGGGAGACTGCTGTCAGCCACCGGAACCCGGGAGACTCGGCTCCTGGGCACTGCGGGATGGGACAGTCTGTGCCGCTAGCGAGAACCGGGCCGATCCGAGCAGGCCGTGCCCGGCCCCCAGCACGCTGACTGCCATGACCACCTTCGGGCTTTGCCCTTCTGCACGCCCACCCCCACACTTCTAGAATGTCCCTTCCTGCCTTGAGCAAACCCGAGAGCTTGGCCCGAGGGCCCCGGAGGCAGGCGCGCTGGCCTGTTCCTGCACCCCGCCTGTTGTCTGGCCCTTTTACCTAATGCTAGTCTGGTGACCCCGTCGGGGTCCCGGAAAGAGCAGCATCTGGCGGCCACGCCCACAGCCACTCCTGCGTGAGAAGCAAGGCTCCACGGGATTGCAGCCGTGCAGAGCACTGAGAACCCTTGCAAGGTGACCGGGGACGACTGGGTGACGGCCTAGCGCTAAGCCGGCTCACCAGTCCTCCTGAGCAGAGACTCAGGCCCACCTGTCCATCTGCCTGCCTCCACGGTGGTGCCCAGCCGTCTCCAGAGCGCCCTGGCAGAGGTGGACATGGCCTGGGTGTGGTCAGGCCTGGTGAGTGGGGCCGACTGCAGCCTGAAGGGGACAGGTGTGTCTGCAGAGCTGTGCGGGGAGGTGACACGCCGGGCTGGGCATGTGCTTCCGGGGTTTATTCTGGGGCCACTGCGGTCGGACTTCGCTGCTCAGGAGGAAAGGGCCCGTGTGCGTGTCCGCCCTGGGTTGCACCAGCCAGGCTGCACGCTGGCACCAGAGCGCTGCAGGCCCTCGAGGAGTGCACCCAGCACGCCCAGAACCTACCTAGAGGGCCGCCTGGCGGTTAACGGCTTGGTGCGTGTGTGCCCCA